GGTTGAAGAGGAAGAGTAGTTATGTGTCAATGATACCAAAGTGAGTTGGTTTTGAGGGGGGGAGGATGTGAGGAAATACGGTTGTTTTGTGTCTCTGACAGAGAGTGAGGGGTAGGAGGGGCGATTCTATGTGTTATGTGTCTCTGACAGAGAGTAGGGGGTAGGAGGAGGGGCGATGCTATGTGTTATGTGTCTCTGACAGAAACTTGGGGGTAGGAGAGGGGTGGGGGGATGCTATGTGTTACGTGTCTCTTGTGCTGAGATGAGCAGGGTGAAAAAACACATTCAATGTTCTATTATTTAAATCATTATATTCTCTTAAATCAAAGGAGTTTGGTTGATCATTTCCCTGGGTATGTCTTTGGTATAAAATTGACTGAAAGTGAAAGTTCTTCTGCCCACAGTAGGTTACTGCCGAATTTTACAGACAAATTTATTTTTCCTTACACAAGGACAGAAGGTAGTAGGCCTATACAGTGCCTCTTGCATTGGTTTGTTGGTTCATGCTAAATAGTAACAGTAATAATAGCACAATTGTTTCCTTGCTACCAACCTGTTTTAGTCTATTTTGTAACTTCCACATTGTACCACTTTGTTGTTAGGAATGTATGAATGCTCTTTTTTGGAAAGTCAAGAAAGTTATAAGAAAAGTTATGAAACCTGAATTGCATCCCCAGGGATAAAAATCTAGTTGTTTGACTGAACTGAACTGATTTTCTTTGATGTAACATCTCAATGGTCCTACATTATTGCTCCCTCTAACCTGGGGTTTGAATGCTTATCTTTTTTAGATAAGAGACCTGTGAAGGGACTGCTGTGCCTGTCGGGTGATGTGAAATCGGAAATTCAAGAAAGAAGTTAATGAGGAAACTCACCCCCGTCTTGTGATATATTTGTGTGAGAATTCAAGAGAACCGACTTTCACCCTGATGATCCTCCTGTTTTGGCATTTGGGAAAAGGCCTTTGCTTGGGAAGCATGTTTCCAGATCTGGCCAGTTCTCTGATCAAGTCAGGGCTCTCTGTTTTTTTATATTGTTTTGTTTGTTTTGCCTTTCAACGAATCCCGATCGGGTTTGCATCGAGTCTGACTTTTACTCAAATTCTGTTTCATAAATTATGTGAAATACACATTTTCATTTGCGTTTATTTTCAGCATTAGCTGGGCTTATCGTTAAAAAATGTCATGAAAATACACATTTTCATATCCGTTTATTTGTGTGTATTTGCAGTACTGGTTTATTTACCAGGGTCGGTTTGTAACATCTTAATCTACTGGGTTTCTGTAGACTCCCAGTTTTTCCCCTCCAATTTTTGGGGGAGGATTTTTTAAAAGGAAAACTCCTGTTTGTTGTCTCGGATTGGTCGACAGGTCTGTGTATAAACTATAGGCCTATGTACTTGTGTGAGTAGTTGCTCTTTTTTTCTTTCTTCTTTTGTTGTCTTTTACATTTACTGTTGCCCCTCGTGCTGTACTGTCAGGTTGTCCGAATAGAAACGGATCATTGGTGCTTCACCTATTGTTTGTCTCAAGTTTCTGTCTTGGTCTCTAGCAAATACCAGACTACCGTACTTCTTATTTGCTTCAAATGACATTATGAGAGAAATTTGAATTCGAATTCAGAGAGCATTGCAGACATTCTTTTTTTTCTTTATATTTGCAGTAGACGTAGGAGGGTAAAGTAAAGGTAATGCTTGTGTTCTGTGATGTCTTTTTTTTGTATGGATAAACTTGATTTATTATATAATAATAAACCAAAGTATTTGTCTGTAGAGCACTTACTGTGGAAATTGGTTATTCTCTTGGTATTGCCTGATTGGATTTATGATGTATTTTTGACCATTGTTTTCTGTAGCATACTTTATGCAATGTTATTCAGAATGGAATATTATGAAATGTTGCTGGAAAACAAGAATAAAGAAGTTATATAAATAAATGAAATGTTTTTAAAATTTTGTGAGACAGAACATTAGCACTAACAGACAATGGGTGGTTGGTGGGTGTTCTGGTGTGGTTTGCTTCTTCTTTCCTATCAAACATCTATCGTCCTTATCTCCCTTTCTTCTTTTTTATGTTTCTCTCTTGTAACACCTCTAATTTTCTGGTGCTCTCATGACCTTATGCAGTTGCGAGTGCTGTAAAACCTCTACGAAAACTAAAAAAACTAACTGACAATTTAACATATTGTTGGCCATCTGTTCAGATGACCTAAGTCCAAAATTTAGCATTTTTAAAAAGTTGCTGACTTTTAATCTGTGGTATCAGTTTAACTTTAAGAAATATTTTGTTGAAATTCAATTTCTAACTGTTGAAAAAAGCAAGAAAAGACGCATTATGTGAGCACAATTTTAAAAGAATGAAACAGTTTTTCCTCTTCTGAAAGATTTTGCATTCCGGGCTAAGAAGAGTAATTGAACAATTTGCCAATAGAAAAGAAAGAGCAGATCACACAAGAACACCCACCAATCATCGACATACAGTAGTCTCCTGCTAAACGCACGTCATACAAAAGCACGCTCCGCTCAAACTCACGCTTTCCACATACGACGGGTTTTTACTCTATATAATTAAGATGTACAAACGCACAGTCACTCCCTCTAAACGCACGCTCCGATCCGCGAAACACGCTGACAGATAAAGTTTCACAAGAGGAAATTTTCGCGGCTGCCTACACAGCTTGCATAAGGCAAGCCTAGAAAACCGGATATATGACTATGAGACTGCCACTCACGCCGAACAAAGAGTGTCGGACTTCATTTTCACACCCAACTTTCCACAGAAGGATGATCGATGTTTTGATAGGAAAGAAGAAGTAAACCATACCAGAGTGCCTGCCAACCACCCACTAACAAATTATGATGCAGTTTTTGAAAAACAATCACATGAAGTAATAGTAATATACACAGAAACTTTCCAATCTTTTTTGCTGCTTACATAGAAGTAGAAGGCCATAGCAAATGACTGTTTTGCACATACCTTTATTCATCAATGTACACAAGAAAGTGTATTGAAAATATTCATAACTTTACACCATAATATACCAAGTATTGATACTGAAAGTTCTTGTTTCTTAAAGAAATATTTTATTTTTAAAAATGCATACAAACATACAATGCAAAATACCAGTGTTACAATAAAGACTGCATCAGTAAAATTCTAATCAGTATGCAAATATATGGGCATACATTAGCAGTTATCACACACACATCTGTACACTAGCTTAATTAACTAAAATGTTTCAATTTAGTGAGTTCGAAATAATTAAACAGTGTGGAATGCATACAGTGAAGGAAAGATCTTCTTCTTAATAGTAGTCCTGGGACGTAAGATCCCAACCACTGTCAGTGTCCACAAAAAAGAAAATGTGTTTAGCATTCATGTAGTAATGTGGATCCCTCACTGCTCTGAACTATATTATTCCATCCATCATCATCATCATCACTGCCTTCCTTACCCTGCATCGGGGTATTGGCCCCGAATTAACACTTTCCACTTTTCCCTTTCCTAGGCTGGCCTCTTGATATTTAACATTATTCCACATCTTCCCACTTTTTTTTGTCTATCATTCTTTGCCACTCTTCTCCAGGTTCCACGTGGCCTTATACTACTGTGGGTTTCAATCCAACACTTTCTTTGTTGTACAGATGCCTGGCTTCCACAGAGTATGTCCAATCCATCACCACTGCTTTTTTTCCCATCTAATCTCAGACAAAATTCAACCTGTGCTTTAAGGAAAAAAAAAAGAAGCAAAAAGCAGAGCTACAGTGGCCAAGCCAGCTAATTTCAAATTGGGACAGTATTTGAGCAAACATCGCAATGTACTCCATCACTGCACGGCGGCATATATTGTGAAAATATGAAACGAATGAACAGACAATAATTTTCAAAATCAAATTAACGTTTCAAGACCCCCACAGAGACTCAAGCCACCCAAGGAACACTGGGCAAGCAGCATGCAAGGATAAAGGGTTTAATGAACCAACACTATTTTGACCACTTTCCTATTCACGGAAAAATGTCAAGAACAAACATTTTTCTCTAAACAACTTCAGACTGTCATTGCAACACTTTGCAAAGCGATCAGCCAAATCATGTTGCTTTAGAATCTTAACATAATTAAGTATATGAAGCATATGGTAAAGAAATCATCAACCAATTACGTTTATGATTATGATGGTGTATACAGAACACGTTGCCCATGCTATTCAGAAACAGAAATGAACAAGCAATTTTGCTTTGTGAACACGAAATTGTTGAATTGTAGGTACATCGTAAAACTTCTACTTCTAGTCCTAAAAAAACCCTCCAAAAGTTAAGTCTTCTGCTGAATTTCACAAACCTAAGAAATCACTAGAATGCAGAAAAAATCTACGACAGACTGAAATCTACGAAAGACAGAACGCGAGCCCCCCCCCCCCCCTTTTTTTAACACTACTGCTCACTTCATTCACTAAACAAGAACAGCTTGTTCAGGCTGGCTAGCATAGCACTTCCACACACACCACACAAGTTCCCTCTCACACTTTAGAAGAACTCTCCACAGACAGTGACGCACCAAACAGAAGAAACAATCACACAAACGATTCATATTTTCTTTCTGCATAAGGCGCTCAAGATTAAACCCAGCGAAATTTTTGCACAATGAAAACAATACAACAGTTGGGCAAGGATAACTCAAACATATTGGGGATTGGCAAACTCGTTTGACGCATAGTTCGGGTTAACGGGTAACTAAACATTAAAGAGATATCAGTCGGGGATTGGCAAATTGTACAAGTACAAGCTATCCGTGATTTTGAATTTTTTGTATTCTGTATTCGTGCTATCTGTGCCCAACTGTATGAGTCTTCGACCCGCTGTTCAGGTTAACCAAGCCCAGAATTTTGAATTTTAAAAAAATGTTTGCACTTTCTTAACCTGAGGCACTGTGGTATCAATTGCATGTGCTCTAGGTATATTTTTTTTGAAAATTCAAATTCTAAATGTTGAAAAAAAAAAGCAAGAGAAAACATACATAATTTGGGTAGTTTTTAAAAGACAGACAATTTTTCTTCTCTCTCCTGAAGAATTTTGCTTTCTGGGTTTTTAGATCAATTGAACATGTTACTAATAAAGTGCATCTAACAGACAAGAAACATAAGATGAGAACTGGTTGGAGCCTGAACCATCGTGGGGACATACAAACACACGTTGTTCATTTCTCTCTTGCCACTACATCCCTCGTGTACTATAGTCCTATACTATAAAGCACCAGTATGTCAGGATGACATTCGTTTATTCATTCGGTCAACAAACAGGTATCATCAGTTTTTCAAACACAAACATTTGCATCAAGCTTTTCCTCTCCAAATTTGTTAACTCATAACTGGGCAATTGTCACCTCACTACAAGGTCTATTTAACCAAACAAATAAAAGTTCATTGTTTAGTTAGATCTAGTGATGGCGATTGAAGGCCAGAAGGTAAGTTTGAATCGTGTATTATTTTTTAAAATTGTCAAGAAACTGATCAACAAAAATCAAAGCAAACACGTAAATTTAAAAAAAAAAAAAATTAAAAAAACCCAGATTGGTACAAACAGTACTAATTTGGAGTCAATCTTATCCTTAAAAACCACAAACAGGCACATCTGTGCAAAAACATACATTCAATTCACATTTTTGTCATGTGGTCATTACAATTTACAAAAAAAACAGTACGGTTTTGTGAAACGCGAACAAGCCCACAACATTTCCACCCAAGAACCACACAATCTTCTCCTTCCATTTTTTTGTTGTTGCAGACAGCGTCCAACTAAACACAGGTACCACATCCTTGACGCTGCTTCAAAAGCTCAGTATATATTTGAAATAAGCCAACAAGTATGTTATCGTATTGTGCAACACAAAACATTTCTTTAACTACAGTCAGTATGTACAGCATTACATGAGAAAATCACGAACAGAGCGGACAAATGCATACCTTTTGCTGGAATCAAGCTCTCTACTGCAAGCAAGGAAAACAAAAGTCAAACAACAATGAAATTAATTACAAGAAATATATTTGAAACATTAGGTTTTTTGTTTTTTTTCCTTCTGGTGTGTTTGACACCTCGATCCGACATACTTAGTCTCACAGTGAGGAAATGGTGTACCATGTACAAGTTGGACAACGACATACATAATAACACACGTACACACACACACACACATTATACACATGCGCGCACACGCACACTCACACATACATACACAAGCACACTATACAGAGAATCTTTTGAGTGACCTTATTCAAAACACTGTACAGGACACAATTGTGAGGCAGCGTGGTGGAATCAGGCTGTCGTCAAAATAATGAAATCAAAGAAAACAGCAGTTTTCTCCCCGCTTAGCAATTTTTATCAAATTTTTGTTTTTCGGCTCAACACCTTTTATGTCCATTTACAAACACATTCCTTAGAGGATTTCACCGAAAAACGTTGATTAAAGGCACAAAAATATAAATTTAGTTTTTATGGACTCTCCAGCTTTGGAATTTACCTAGCTTTGACAGCCATTTTCTCACTAATTTTACCTCTTAAACCAGGTGACCCCCACCTCCTTCAATCCAAAATATCTCCACTTTTATTGAAGATAGATGGATATTTTTTCTTCATCCAAACAAAGACAAATGAACAAGCTTTAAGATGATACCAATAACTCAAAGCCCAAAAATTGACGAGAGCCTGATTCCACCACGCTGCCTCACAATTGTGACGATACTGGGACACGGTACAAAAACGAACCCTTACCTTCCACCTCTAATCAGTTACACAAGTGACGAGAGGAGCTATACAGGACGAGAGTCAAACCCCAGTCCTCCACCACAGTTACACAACAGGCCGGGGTTCTACAGGACAGAATTGAACCCTAAACCTTCTGTCTGCCTCAGTCACGTTTCAGAACTGGAGTTACACAAAGCAGAGTCAAACGCTCAAAGGCTATTTGTGTGATTCGCCGGAACATGCAGCCTCATCGCTAGATCTGACCCTGTGTGGTTTTATGCACCACGCATAATTTAGCAAAATTTGATCTTTTTCCCCCCATAATTTCTGATTATTTTCCTTTATCATTCTTTGTTAAAATTAACAGAATTGCATAATTTCACATTTTTGGGCTCGGTTTGCATAATTTCAGAATTTTTTGTGTGCATAACATGACGGAGACAGCCAGATTGAGCCCCCTTGTGATACTTTTTCTTGTTTCCCTCACCTCTAAAAGGTTACACAAAAGGAATTACGTTATAGAAACTAAGACAGAGTGCCGTGTAAATTCCATTCTCGGTCAGTTTGTTTGTTTGAGTGAACAGAAGCACATCGACGCAATAGAAGGGTCAGTTAGTACTGGAGAAAAAGGGAAACAACAGAGGGAATATAAAGAAGTAGGACCTATCCATGGTACCCTCCAAGCAGCTGCTCTCTAAGAGTGAGTGGAGAAGAAATAAATAAAGTCTCCGAGCAAAGCAACGTGTCAACACGACATAACCCGCTAAAGCCCAGTGCCACTTGCTCAAATGGGATGGGAACTATTGTGCCCCAAATTATACCATAATCTTCTTTGTTTCGCCTTTTTTTTTGTGTGTAAAGAGAAGCACATTGACTCAACAATGGTCATTCAGTGCTGGGAAAAAGTAAGACAATAGACAGAAACAACAGAGGGGAAAGTAAAGAAGTGCGTAGGACCTACCAGAGGCGCCTTCCAACCACCCGTTCACAAACACGATAATCCTCTTTCTCAGATGTTGGGCCTGGGGTAGACATTGACGATCACGGTACCCCACAAATACAATAATACATACACATAAACATAATACGTTACTCTCGCATTCCCTTGAGCATCTCATAACCTTAGCTTTCTCCTTGCTGTACACCCACAGTTGAACTATTTCTGTACAAAGTCACCAGAACTTGTTAGAATATTTCTGTACATAGCCACACCAATGTAGAAAAGTACAGTAGAGTCTGCTTAAACGGAAACCTACGGGTCTGCTGAGTTTTCTTCAATTCAGCTGAGTTTTACTGTTTAAACGGGATGCCCAAATAGAAGAACCATAAAAAAAAGGGAGTGGGAATTTTTGGGTTTTTTTTGTGTTCCAGCTGTTTTCAGTCATATTAACCATGTTTGTTCCAGTGGACTCCACTGTAAGACAGAGACTGAGAACTGTTCTACTTTTGAATCTTGCATCAGTAAAGAATTTGAGAGACTACAAATATACAAACTGTCAAATCAAAATCAAAGATATCAATAAATGTCAAATCAGATGAAAACCTTTAGGTCATTTACTAAAAAACAGTTCTGTTTTTTTCAAAAGGAAAAACATGCATTGATGAAAAGACTCTAAACAGTGATATACAGGGACATATACATACACAAGAGGGAGAGAGAGAGAGAGAGAGAGAGAGAGAGAGAGAGAGAGAGAGAAAGAGAGAGAGAGCAAAAGGCAGGTTAAAAAAAGAGAAAAAGTCAGAGAGAAAAAAAAAATGACAGACTGGCCAAGCGGCAAAACAAGGAGAAAGAGAAAGACTGGAACACAGGTGCGACTAGTAGTTGTAGCAAAAGCAGTAACGTGTTGTTACAATAACGGGGATCCGAAGCGACAGAGTGACCGAAAAGACGAGAGAGAGAGAGAGAGGAAGAGAGAGAGAGCAGCTCCATCACACCAGTGGCGGCAGTCCGGCCTTTTCACGACACTTCTGGATAGTGGCTCGAAGAATAAACTGTTTTCGAGATAATTCTCGCACCCGCTGAAAAACAGAATTTGAAAAAGAATCAAAACTGATGTAAGATTTTAAATAAAGTTCAAATTGTACATGAAAGCTACCTTTTTTTTTGGGGGGGGGGGTCCAGTGTCCTGATTTTAGTGCCCAGATTTGCAAGTTATGTAAAAATGTGACATGGTACAAAGTGTTATGCTTCACGGAAAACCAAACAAGCCAATGGGGAATTGTTTGGTCAATGATGATGATGACCATGACAGTGATATTGATAATGATGATGATATTGATGATGATGACTATGACCGTGAAGGATGCTTATTGTTGAGGAGAAAAGTGGTTGTTTTTTTGGTTTTTTTGGACAGGTAGATGTCTTGGACAGTATCATCATAATATGGAAAAATAATGAAAGTGGAAGCGGAATGTGGTTATTTGTACAGGTGATTGTCTTGGACATGCTGTCAGTAAAGCAAGTTTGAGTATGGTCAGTCTGTCGGTCCAAAAAGAAATATTAAGGAGGGCTAAACTGACCAAAAAATTCCTTGAAGAATCAATCTAGGCCTTAAGTTTGGAGATTTAGATAAAAATATGAAGCAAAAGTAGAAAATGGGCAGTGAATTTCAAAGAGTGAAAATGAGAGTTAATGCGAGCAGAATAAAGAAGAGGAATTTAGCAAATGTGAAATTATTCATCCCTGAAAAAGTAGTTCTCTTTAACTGTAAAGAATTCATCTAGTGTGCCAGATCTCAGTTCAGTAGCCGAGCAGAAATAGGAAGCAACATTCTATGGCTATGAAAAACAACATCCTATGCTGGTGAAAAGCAACATTTTATGATTACAAAAAGACAATGGACAAAAAAGAAAAGTTGGATGAGAGGGAAGAAATTTCAGCATACTCCATGCTAATGAAGAATTTGCCGGTCCATGAAAGTGCCTGCAAATTTTTGTGCCCAAATGAAAGAACAGTCAACATGTTACAGTGGCAAGATACTAGAGTATTTTTTAGTTGGGCGGGAAGGAAAGCTGTATTCACTTCTGTGACTTTGGCCTTTTCTTCACAGGAGGAGGAAGAAGATATGATCAGCCAGCTGTTCAGACATACTAAGCCCCAATATATCTTTTAATATCTTTTCATTTCATTGCAGTTTCTTAATCTGAGGTATCAGATGCATGAGCTTGAGAGGCATACTATTAAAATTCTGATTGTAAACTTTGAAAAAAGCAAGAAAAGATACATTTTATTTAGGTACAATAGTTAAAAGAATGAAACGCTTTTTTCTCTCTCCAGAAAAAATTCTCTTTCCGGGATTAGAACACTTGAACAGCTTACAAACAATATAATTTGTTGGACTTACCTTTAAGAACGATTCCAGTTCAATCACATTTTTCCTCAGACCTTCCCCCAGGTAATAAATAGCATCTTCTATTGCTTGCTCTTCAGCAAAGGCATCCACTAACCTGTAAGAAAGAGAAACGACAACAATTTAGGACGGAATGTCTTTTGTTTTAGAAAGAATTTTAAAACACTTGCAACACAATTAGGTCATATAAGTGCCAAAGATTAGCGATGGTACAAGAGAGTAAAAACACAAAAAAGAAGGAGGACAGATCAGATAAAGACAATAGATGTTTGATAGGAAAGAAGGAGCAAACCACATCAGAGCACCTGCCAGCCAGCCACCCCAAACATCTGGAACAGCCGACATATTTAGCACAATATGTTAGAGTTGTTACAGAGGGGTCAGCATCACTGTTCTCTATACTGTATTATTAGGGGATAAGTTACTGACCTCCTTCCCATCAAGAAGAAATGCAATCCTTTACAAAGAGAAAAGAAACCAAAACCTTGTATGCTGAAATATACAATGGACATATTCATCGTTGTGTATCATCTCAAATTTCTATCCCTTCTTCTTAGAACTTTCCTCTGGACCATATATACAGAAACGGCCCACAAAATGTGCATCTTACAATGTATTAAACATGAAGAAAAACTGCATTACTACAAAACCCTGAAGTTTTGAGCACTTCCATATTGTACAGATATATTTTATGGGTTTGAACTTTTCTACAGCCTGAGAGTACAGACCCAAAACAGACAAGCTCTATACGTTTCACAATCTATATCATTACCCAAGCAGACCTGATAGCATTCTGAAACAATCTCATCTTCTGTAAGTGCTGTACAATGCAGAATTATCACTCAATACATTTCATGGGTTTGGGGTTTGATCTTTTCTACAGCCTGAGAGTACAGACCCAAAACAGACAACTGTCCTCTCACTCTGGGATAACATTTCCCCCAGGGCTTAAAATACATCACAGTCAACTGTTCAAGGAGCCCAGACAACATTTCTTGGGGACTTAATGTAGATATATCACGCCTTGTGGCGTCGGTGGCCTAGTGGTTAGGCTCTCGGACTCGCAACCGTAAGGTCGTGGGTTCGAATCCTGTCAGGGGCCCGACGTTGTGTTCTTGGGAAAGGCACTTTGCACAAATTTTCCTCACTTCACCCAGGTGGAAATGGGTACCCGGCTATGGACAGTGAACGATCTTGTCAGTTTGATAGTGTTTGAGCGCATGAAAACCGCAGCTTGCACTGTATGCTTCCGTGGAAGCAGAGAATGTTTCTGAGTGTTCTCAGAGGGTCTGCTGGGGTAATAATAGTTGTAAAGCGCATAGAGCATGCTCTTGAGCATGGATATACGTTATATAAATGCAGTTATTATTATTATTACTCTGTAGCTCTGCCTATAGGCTGGGAGGCTGTATCCTGCTCAGCCCAGAGTAGCTCCGATGGGCGGGGCTCAAGAAGCCCGCCTCCTTAACGACCAAAATTGTGTTGGGGGGCATAAAACGATCAGCAAATTAACTGAGCCGGATGACTTACTGTCTGTACAAAGGTGTTGTGGTGACCACAGCTTCATCAATGTCCACCTCTTCATTGCTTTCCATCTTCTGCACCGCCTCTTTCACTTCCGTGTCCTTCTCTCTCAGCAAGCGTATATTACGGTCAATTTCATTCTGTGAAAGAAGGCAAAATTTTAGTTGGTTAACATCCTCAAGACAAACGGAATTCACAGGCTTAATTAATAAAACCTAAGCAAATGCCCCAGTGGCTACAGTGATCCACACAGGTATACATCAGTTTCTCATCTAAACGCTACGAAAGCGAATAAAACTTTGTACAAAGCTTCTCTAAGGGAAGTTATTTTCCTTTTTCTGTTTTTTCCCGTTCTTTGTCTTGAGTCTAAGCACATGTTGTGAAAGTGTCAGTCCATCCGAAATGTAAAAATAAAAAATCAAATCCGTCAAAATATGGAAATCAATTCCAGGGTTAACAAGTTAATGCCTAACCCATCAATGTTTCTGACAGTGCAAGATTGTAAAGAAACAATTTCTTACACCATCCCCCAATAAAGTAGACATACTTAGATTTTTTATTTTTTTTAGTAGAGGGTTTTACGGTGCTCGCAACTGCATAAGGTCATATGAGTGCCAAGGGGTGGGTGTCAACAGAGAAGTCCTTACAGGGAATCGGACACTCTGCTCACCTCTCTAGCTTCAACAGCACAAGGTCTGCTTCGACTATCAAGGCACCCCGGATATAGCGGGTCACAAGAGTGTGACAAACATACAAAAGAAGTAGAGGAAAATGACAATAGTGAGGATTAGGAAAGAAAAAGCAGCAGTTCCCTGTTGCAGATCAGGCACAGTTATGAGCGTGACATGATGAATCAGCCCATTTATAATTCTACTGTGCTTGAACGAGAAATGTCCCCCCTCTTGGGAATGGCCTAAAGACACTACAGTCAGTGGCACTGCCCTAAGAGGATCATCTATTTCATGGAGCCTAACATAACTTTAGCAAAATCCTAACCGAGCGTGTTACAAATAATAATTTGTCCAACAGAGTGTAATAAATTGGTACAACTGAAAGTGTCATAAATTAGCATAACCGAGAGTAATAAATTGGTACAACTGAATGTGTCATAAATCAGAGCAACTGCATGTCATAAATTGGTACAACTGAGAGCGTTTTATAAATTAGTATGGCACTAGCGGGATCCAGACTGGTTTCCTGCCTCCATAAAGAAGCTGGAATATTCCAAACAGATAATGAAAAAAGAGGGATAAACTATCTTGAATCACTGCACCATGACAGCAGTGTGCTCTCCTCCCCTTCTCCATCCTCCCCCATACATTCTCTCTTCCCCCCCCCCCCAACCACCACGCCACCTCAACTGTACCAAGTAGTCAAGTAGCAAATATAGACCAGAAAGACAAACTTAAATTGTGCTATCGCAGGTAAAACAAAGCCAAAAAAATTAAAAAACAAAACGTGCCAGCACTTACCTTCTCTTTTTCCAGATCAGAGATAATGGTCTCTAGCTTCTGCTTGCCTTGAGTCAAATCTTTCTGCGTCTTTGTCAGTACATCCATCTCAGCCTGAAAATTTGTCAGTTAAAATACTTGACTGCAAGACTTGCTGTATGGTAACAACCTGAGAATGCTTTTTGTCTTTTTGGTTAAAGAGTAATACCTCACCAGTCGATCAGCCCAGCTAAACTGTCAGAAAAATGTGGGCAGGGTACGAAAAATTAAAATTTGGCAACACACCCAACCCCACAGAAACCTATATCTTATCTTATCCAGACAAACTTGTTCATTCCGTATACGAAGCACATAGGGCTTGTACCTAGGCCCCCCCCAAAAAAAATCTGGTGACTTGCAGGATTGTGTTATTCATCATTCATAACAAATCATAACAATTTCAAACACTAAAGTAATAATAATAACGGTATTTATATAGCGCACATCCACTATGCAGCGTGCTCTATTCGCTTTACAACTATTACTATGTCATCAGACTCTTGAACACGACAAATAAATATTCCCTGCTTCCCGGGAAGCATACAGTGCAAGCTGCTGATAAGACGCCGTAACTAAAACACTGACAAACTGACTAGATCTGATCCCCTTCCACCCTTTCTCCAGATAAAGCAGGGAGACAACTTAAGTCAGAAAGCAACAAACCTGAGCTTGGGCAAACGTCTCCCGTAATCTTCTCTTCATCTTGTCCTCTACGGCAGACAGGAGGGAGGCACGGATGTCGTCTTCCGTTACAGTGCCGCCCGGGGTCAGTTGGGACAGGCCGTTGCTGTTGCCTGGGGAACCAGTAGTTGAGTTATAATGAAAATAATAACAATAACAATAATAATAACAATAATAATGATATTAATAATAACAATAATAAAGGGAAATTATATTGCGCCTAATCCAAGATGGCCGAAAACGCTATACAATGCAGAAATGTCGCTTAACTTGACTGACGAATCAAAGGACACAAAATGCACATTTTGAGACCATTTAACAACACACACACTACTCCAGGGCCAATTAAATTCTTGCATACAAAATTCACTGGGAGAGGATAGTGTTGAACAAAAATGCCTTTAGACTTTTCTTAAACCCTCGGAATTAGGAATTAAGAGGAATTTAGTTTAGTCTGGTAAGAGTTTTACAAAGCTCGCCCGTGCATAAGGTCATATGAGCTCCCAGGACTTACGTTGGTTGTATTTATGTTCATTCACAGCACAGCTTGGTTTTACTTCAGGGTTGATTTCTATGAATTCATTATTTTGACGAGCATCTGATTTCACCACACCTTCTCACATAGTGTTATACATCTTGCATCAAGACTATTTCTTTATAAAGTGCAATATGACAAGCAAAAAGAGATTAAAATACAGTGAAGTCCGCTTAAGTCAAACACAGTTAATCCGCAAACAGCAGTAAACTGAAACAAAACTAAATCCCCCATAATTTTTGTCCTCCTTTATTTCAGCAACCTCTAAACCCAAATCCTGGCTGCATCGAAGAAAATCTGGAGGTCCAGCAATTGACTCCATTGCATAAATAAATTTTAAGCATTAGATAAATCCGGATAGTTTCAGAAATCCGGATTTCCCCGATTTATCCCGGGAACACTGGCACTTCTGAATCCATCTCAACAAGAAAGGCCTGGGCCCAAACTTACCAACGTTGTTAGCGGTCGGGTAGGGAGGCTGAGCCTGGTACTGGGAGGGTGGGTAGCCCCCCCCTGAGCCAGGATAGGGCGGCCCCGGCGGCTGTTGCGATGGCATGTGGCTGGGGTAGGGGGTGTTGGCGGAGGCCGGGGGGTACACCGGGGGGTACGAGTTGTTCTGCGAGGTGGGCGGGTAAGCTGGGTACGGGGGGTTGCCTCCGCCGCCCCCGCTCGGGTAGCTGCTGGGTGTGGAGTAGGGCGGGTACCCGGGGTAGCTGGGGCCTCCCACGCCGCCCGCTGGTGGGTAGGGCGGCATCCCCGGCATAGGCATTCCACCTGCTGGTGTGAGGAAAACAAAAAAAGGAAAAATTGTTTCAGCACTGCCAGCTGCCAATTTGTTTATTTTTTTGTTTGTGTTTGTGTTTTACTGCCCTCGCAACCGCATAAGGTCATAGGAGTGAGGGACACACCGAACATTTTCAGTTATTGGGAAATTTTGAATTTTGCCCCAGTGGCGGCTGAAGCCTACTCTTATCAATTTTGGACCACCAAGGGATCTTTAACGTGTGCAACTTGCACATGGGACCTCCGAGACTTATTGCCCCTGTCCAAGAAGGCTAGGTGTAGATCTATCCTACCAGAAGATCAGGGGTGTGGCTGAATCAGAAACACAGCAGTAAAAGGGAGCCAAGGAGAAGCAGTAAACAGGCTGCAGAAAGAGTCAGGAGCCCAGAGGATGGGGCAAAGGAGGTGAGTAGGTGGGGGCAGAAAGTGGAGACGAAAACAGACGACATAACAATTTTAGAGAGCAAGAAAGGATGCGAAAGGAGAACAGAATTTTCTGTTGCTATCCAAATTTGAACCCGGGACCTATTGAATGAGAGGTGAATATCTTGACCTCTAGGCCAAAAGAGCCCCCATCACCAATTTTAAAAGAGGAAACATTCATTATTTCAGCTCTGCCTACCGCCAATGTCCCATTTTGGCTAAATTCAAGGTCATTTTCAGATATTTTGGCCAAAAATCAGGTAGTAACACCGACAAAGAAGGGGGAAAAGAGTGACAAGCTATCACAGTACAAGTTGTTACCACCCAGCAGAGCTTGCTTCAAGTAATATTATGAATTGTATCTTGTGAGAGCGAATATGATGTGTAAATGTGTGATGGCGCGCACACATATGTATGTGTGTGTTAAAAGTGTTTGTATTTTTATTTACCACAGTCATTTTTTTTTTTTTTTTTTACTGAGGAGTAAACTGACAAACACAGAAGAGAGGAGTAAATTAACAGACTCGGAGTAGAGGAGTAAATTAACAGATTCAGAAAAGCAATGGTAATTAACAGACACAATTTCACTCCTCATTAGTTTGAATACATTGAATCAGATCTTCCCCCATTGGGAAACTCGCTACAGTATTTTTATTTTCTGGTCCTAGATCCAAATATGATCAAATGTCAAATTATTGTTGAATATTCTCTTTGTCTTCGAAAGTGTTCTCAGTTTCCCATTGCTATCCTTGCACCACTTTATTGGACTCTACACTCGACAGAAAAAACTTTGCAGTTCGAATTTAAAAAACTTAACTCTATGTAAAGCTGGATTGAATTGACATTCACAAAAAAGTTTTAGTGAGAATTTAGTGAAAATGTTTACATCTCTTCCCACATAAGAATCAAACTCACATCTTATGTCTGTGACTGCAGAGTGCCTAACCGCTTCACCACAGACGATGGTTATGAGACCACGTCATGTCAAAGACGGACATACAGACGTTCTACGCAGGAGGAAACGTAAGTGTGTTGTTTTTTTAAAATGCTCCCATTGAAACAATTTAGATAATGAAACACTGGGGGGAGTGCTGCTAACTTCAAAATGGAACAGACCTGGATTGCTGGGATACGGTGTTTGGCCGGGATAGGTCAAAGGCTGATTAGAAGACCTTTGATTGGCCGACCTGGAAAATACCGGGCATTCTTCGCCAAAGGTGAAGGTCAGAATCTGCACCAATCCCAAGAGATCAGAGGTTGGCTGTGGACAAGTAGAGAGAAATCACATGCTAATACGTGACAGTATATCTGGTACAAGTCTTCATGGAGCCCATACAAGAACACTCATTGCAAAAGTTAAAAGAGTAAACATACAGCTAGTAATTCATACTTTTAAGTACAGAGCAGTGGATGGTTGGCGGGTGCTACCATGTGGACTGCTCCTTCTTTCCTATCATACAACTACCATCTTTATCTCTCCTTCTTCATTTCTTCAAATGTTACTCTCTAGTAACACCTCAAATCTTCAACATTTAAATGGCCTATTTGTGTTGTAAGTGCTTAAAGATTTTACTCATTTTTTTTTCTCTTCAGGTACAATGAAAGAAGTACTCACAAGAGTGTAGATTAAGTCTCAAAGTATTCAGATATCTTTGCACTTATCCAGTCTACCAGCATTCCCTCTTCTCCTCTCAAGTTTTCTTAGACAGTCCCGCACCTGCTCTTTGAATATCCCAAACTACAGGATCTCCAATGGCAATTTCTTCCTCCCGTCCCTACCATAGACAATACCTTATACTTACATTGCAGCAAAGAACAAATGTTGGAGACCTCCACCTTTTTCTTAACATGCCAATGAGCTGAAGGGCACATGTGCAAAGGCGATTGGATTAACAACAACAACAACAGTTTTCTGGTGCCAGTTTATTTGAAGGTCTACTGTGATATTTCTGGTTTCGTTGAAGGTCTACTGAGACGATTCTGATACAGGCTTGGGCATAAAATCATGTTTTGGTGGTTGTAGCTTGTTGGGAAAGGAGGGTGGGGGGTGGGGGTGGGTGGTTGCCCTTTGAATTCTTCTAAAAAGTCCTGTCTGGTCACTTGTTGTCGCGACTAACTTGTAAATCCTAATCTTTACAACCTACAAATTTTAAAAAATCTAAATGACACCTCAAAACGAAGCGACCCATCCACTCACACACCTCAATTGTACATGTCACCATCTTTGATCTACATGCCCCCAGCGCTGTTATCACCGTGGTCAGTCAGGCAAAACTTATGGTACACCGCCGTAGGCCAGTAGACCCTCAACTAAAGAGACGTCAATTTTTCTTACATGTCTCCAGTCTCTGATAACAGGCATGTCCACTTTGCCGTTGGCGTCGACATACTGGCCAGGTTTGATCTGCATGGAAGCTGTCGGTTTGACAAACACCATAGGCGGGTTGTACGGGTGTGTGTCCAACACCCAAATGGAGATTGGAATGTTGTACACATTCCCTGTGAATAGAAAAAAAATGCATTTTTAATCAAAGGAGTAAAAGAATACCTTAACAAACAACATACATGGAAAAACCTCACTCCTTCAACTGTCCCAGGAAACTTTGGTCAGCTAAAATGCGAGTGAGACATTTCTTGTAAAAAGCTCACAAATAAATGTCTTATATTCACATATCGTCACTCATAACAATAGAAAGAGGAAGAAAAAAAACCCCAGTTGGCCAATTTTTATTTATTATAGTAGAGGGTTTTACGGCACTCGCAATTGCATAAGGTCAAATGAGCGCCAAGGGGTGGGTGTCTACAGAGAAGTCTTTACAGGGAATCAGACCCACTCTGCCCACCTCTCTAGCTTCAACAGCACAAGGTCTGCTCCAACTATCAAGGGACCCCGGAAATAGGAGGTCACAAGAGAGTGACAAACATACAAAAGAAGTAGAGGAAAATGACTATAGTAAGGATTAGGAAAGAAAAAGCAGCAGTTCCCTGTTGTAGATCAGGCACAGTTATGAGCGTGACATGAATCAGCCCATTTTCTACTGCACTTGAATGAGAAATGTCCCCCCTTTGGGAATGGCCTAAAGACACTACAGTCAGTGCCCTGTTGGCCAAGGAAAGAAAAACAGCACCAGTAAGTATTGTAACTGTACTTATCTTATCCCTGCCAGACCGGTTTTCAAAACACGTAAAGGTTACTACTATGAATGAATAGAATCATTTATAACAAAATAGCCGAGTACCCAGCTTTGCTCGGGGTCGACGCCTTGGCGTCACTGCTCCTACTGGTCTATGCCGCGGAGGCATTTTACATCTACATAGCTGTCTAGCCTTTCAGTCACACCTGGCTTCTAGATCTATATTGCTTTAGATTAGGTCTGCGCTGATTAACACCTCTTTTGATCTACATTGCTTTAGTGTATTGTTGTCTTGCCCTTCACAATCACAATATACAGGTTTCGCCTTACACCATCACAAAAAAACACTAAGAAAATAATAATCCACGAAAGGGCTGCTACACTGTAAAAGGAACACATCGACGTCCTCAAAATTACAGAGGCAGTGTCTATAGCTTGTTCACATTCCTCTGACAGCCTTAAAAACAATTCTAGCTCATTGACAAATTTACCTATGCCAACAAAACTTTGCATGGCACTTCTACAGGCTAGCGACAAAATAAAAATTAAAAAAATAAATCTTGACCCAGTAATAAAAAAGCTTTTCTCTTTGGGCCCTTTATTAAAAACAACTCTTTAGATGATACAGAGGATCACGTCTCCACGTACTACAGGTGAGTCTCGAAAATTTCTCACACCATCTCTTGAATCGTGTTTCTTAGGCGAACGTTAAAGAGCAGTAATGAACTTCCGTTGTGAAGGAGAGCTACGCAGATTTGTTTCATTTCCCATTCACAAAAGCCAAAGAAGGACGGGAACTTTTGTCAAATACATTTGTCTAAATTCAGGAAAAGAATAAATAAAAAATCCGGCTCCATCATGGGGACTGGGGACCTATCAATCTTTTTGCAGGTACTTGCAAACTTTCAACTCTGCAGCTGTAGAAGTTTTATGGGAAAAGTGATACATGTGTTTCCAAGTTGCCAAATATGTTTATAGATAAATTGCTGGATCAGCTGACAGCAGCCAATGCAAAAAACAAAAACTTGAGAATCAAAATAAGAAAGCCCCACTTACCCCGATAGTTCACAGGTATTGTCCCTTCCAGGTGAACCAGCTCCCTCTGGGTGCCATCATTGAACACTGAAAACAATTTTTAAATATCATGTGTCCATTCATTAAAAAAACATGCAGAAGAAGAGCAAAAAACACTAGTTTGTCTCAGTACGTGTTTTACACTAATTTCAACACAAATAGGTCATAAAAGTGCCCGAGATAAGAGGTATTACAAGAGAGTAACATACTACTTTTTAATTTTTTTTATTTAGTAGAGGTTTTACGGTGCTCGCACCTGCATAAGGTCATATGAGCGCCAAGGGGTGGATGTCAACAACAGAGAAGTCTTTACAGGGAATTGGGCTTACTCTGCTCACCTCTCTAGCTTCAACAGCACAAAGTCTGTTTCGACTTTCAAGGCACCCCGGAAAGAGAAGGTCACAAGAGTGTGACAAACATACAAAAGAAGTAGAGGAAAATGACGATAGTAAGGGTTAGAAACGAAAAAGTAGCAGTTCCCTGTTGTAGTTCAGGCACAGTTATGAGTATAACATTGTTGAATCAGCCCATTTACAATTCTGCAGTGCAGTGCATAAGAACGAGAAATGTCCCCCCTTTGGGAATGGCCTAAAGACGCTTCAGTCAGTGGCACGGCCATGGGGAGGGGGGGGGGGGGGGGGGTTAAAAGAAAGAGGAGAGCTAAGGAGAATAGATGTTTGATAGACAGGCAAGGAGGAGCAAACCACCCACGGGCACTACCTGAGGCTAATTTTCACAATATGGCAAAAATCTAGACTATCACACAAAATTGACCAACCAAGTTGTAAATGGACTCTGCCCTCATTCTACTGACCACCACTGTAGCAATGTCAATGAAAAATTGATTTTCCGTTTTAGCCCTCTTTTATTTGGAACTTCTAAGAAAGGATTTTCTATTCTAAGCATTTGAGGCTTTTTTGACTTAAAGAATCGGTTCAATAATAAAAAAGTTTTGAATTGTAAAGTGCGGCAAAACATGGATGACCCACATATGGGAAAATACTCCTAAAAAGTGGACCACGTAACAACAGATTTTGTAAGAAAATTGACATCTCAGTAATTAATTGGGAGCATTTGAAAGAAACTTGGCTACTCAATGTGTTCTCGAGTGGAGAAATCATTTCTGCTGACATGATTTACCATTCTGTAGTTATTTTGTTGTAATTAAAATACTCGCGTACATATTACAATTTAGAGAAAGAGGGGTGCAGCGATAACAGCATTTTATTTTTGCATCATAACACAATATGGGATCTTTAAGAATATGTGGGCAGCGTGACTAAATAATGGCAAAAATTTCTTTGATGACTTTAGACCATGCCAACCATAAAATTAATATAATTCAATAATCTGACATGCTGTAAATTGAAAACCTTTCTTTCTTCTGTTGAGATGTGAACACTCCCACTGTGTTTCAGGGGAACAGAGAAAAACAACTGGATGGGTGCCCCCACCATTGCCCTATTTCAAATGACCAATGAACGGACTTGGAATAATCCAGCAGGGATTTGTAGGTCACATACATTTGCAGAGGGAGTGCAGGGAAAATGGCTGGTCTCCGTGTCAAGGCACTTGGGACAGGGGGGTAGTGATATATTTATGATAAATTCTTAACTGCTACTTGACATAGAAAACTTCCAAATATGAGGACACTAGAGGAAAGATAGATCTCTTGCTTTCTCGACGTTGAAAATCAAGTTCCATATGAGTTATAGTAGGGGGTGAAAAAAAACCCTGAACTTCTGAAACTTTCACAATGCAAATGTCCAAATAGATCATACACCCTATAGATATGTGTAATTTAAATATCTGGCTCGTTTATTCTCATACCCTTCACATTCAATAGTAAACATGAGCAGGTATCAATATGGTCTGCTAAGGCATACTTAACAAAGTTCGTACAATACGAGAGGAACTAAAATTATGCATTTAAAAATGAAAGATGCATTTATATTCACTTTTGAAGTTATATACAGCTATTTTCATTCATAAGACATGGGTTTGCCCACCTCTATTCACTCCTCCTCTTTGCAGAGGTTGGGTTGGAGGGCCTGTCTTCTTTGATCTTCTTCTTTTTGAGGTTGTGCTCTAGGATAGACCTCTGCTTGCTAATTGTGACTATTTTTGAAGCAAGATCGTTTAAACTATGTTTTGTTACCTTTGGCAAAGGAACTTGAGTGTTCATTCTCTGAGCCTTTTTCTCATCTGCAGCTAACTCTAATCTCCATGAATGTATTTAGTGATACACCAGTCCCATTTAAATTTGTTTTCCACCACTGGCTCTTCTTTATCAATATACCTGTCTGGAATACCACAACTGATTACTATTTCAGCTTTAATTGGCAAGCAACCTTACCCATTAATTTTAATTTTTTTTTGGCCTCAGGCTTGTTGCCTGGTAGTTTCAGTGTCATATAGCTTCAGGCTCATTGCTTTTTGACTCCTTGCTGGTGGAAAATAATTTTAAATCTGGAAGTTTTCTGTTTTGTTTTGTTTTTTTCTTTTTTTTGGGGGGGGGGGGGGGGGGGGGCCGGATATCCATTTTTGGGGGGTCCTGTTATAGTTTACAGAATACCCGATACGAAAGTGTTTCTGACACCAAAAATATAGGATAATTTATGTGTACAAATTTCAATAGACTTCAACGTCCACATGATCAAAATGTAAGTATTTGCCTCATTTTCTGATAGGTTGCTAAGTTTCATTCATATTGGTCCAGACATAGAGCCAACAGAGTTTCTTTTTGGGGGAGTAAGTGTTTTACGGCGCTCGCAACCGCATAATCATATGAAAAAGTTAGTCACCTACATTCCGATCAAGTCCAAAAATACACCCGAAAACAGGGACCAAAATTTCACCACGAACGCCAGCCCAATTGCCATTGCTAACCACTGGCTTTTAAACCTACGAGGCAAAGGTGAAGAGTAATCAGAAAAAAAGCTAATGAGTAAATATAATTAAACCTGTTCGAACAGCCACTTGTCCAAACGACTATTAGATTTCCAACCCTTTCTCTTTTATGCTGTTCAAATTTTATATAAAGACTACCCAAGACATCCAAGCGTCTAAGACAATCACTTTCCTCCTTAACCCTATCCGTACGTCGTGTTTTACTATTGTATCAATGTACGTGGGAAACTCTGTGCCACCACTTTCCAGAGGATATTTATTCGTTTTCCCGTCCGCACGCTTTGCATAGCAGTCTGTCAAAATGATTTTTTGAGAAATACTGAAAGTTTCAAAGAGATTCACACTAGAAGTAGTCTAAAATGTGAAGAATGCAACCCATGAGGTACAAAATGACCCCAGGCGTACGGATAGGGTTAAAAATGATGAGAACAATTTCGACTGTACTCATCAAATTTGTCATCCTTTCATCTGTTTTCCAAAGACTCATGTTCAACCAGTTCTATTTTGACTAACAGTAAGACAGACAACCTCCAAAAGTGTCCAGTAACATCGTCAGTCTTGTTCACTTGACAACTTGTTAGACAGTCAAAAGTTGCAATGCATCCCCTCTGGACATCATTTCTCAATTTATAATCAAAAGTAAAAAACTTTTAATTTCGAGTTAAAGAGCTTACCAAATGGTTCAAGACTGGGTCTTAAATCTCTGTATGCTTTGATGGTATTGATGATTTCTGTCTTTGTGTCCACAGGGTGTTTGTACTGAAATGAAAAACAAATTTAGAGAGATATGATAAGTCTGTTCAAAGGATTTTCAACTGACAGTAAAAAGAGCAAGTATTAGAAGTTTTTTTGTTTTTTTAGTAGAGGTTTTACAGCGCTCGCAACTGCATTAGATGAAATGAGCGCCAGAAGATTAGAGGTGTTACAAGGGAGTACAGTAACAAACATAAAAAAGAAGGAGGGGAGATAAAGACGATAGATGTTTGATAGGAAAGAAGGAGCAAACCACACCAGACAGCCTGCCAACCACCTATTTAGCAAAGTTTAAGACTTTAAAAAAACTAGTGAGAATCTCTTTCAGAATGTCTGGTACCTCCAAAAATAATCCTTAAAGCCGTTCTGTCAATAATAGGTTCTAGTATGGGGTGCCCATTGGGGGATCTGGTGTGGTCAGGGAGGTTTGCTAGCCAGATTGAGGGCGCAAAGCTGCGGCTATCGTGGCACAAGCCCGAGCCGATCGCACCCGACTCGCCACCTAAAAAACAAATAGGTTGGTTTTCGGGCAACCAGTAGGGCGATTGCCCTCGACCCGACCCCATCCCTAATGGGCACCCCGTAAAAGGAAGAGAAAGATTAGATCTAGAAGATTAAATTAGAAGCAGAGATTTTATGATCATCATACACTGACTGTTACTTTATTGTTGTTTAATTTGCTGACTCGCAAGATTCGTCTAGATCTATATAAAATCAAACAGGATGATGTAGCATACATGGATTTACTCTCTGTTTTTAGAGCGTACACTGAATTTTGGACACAGATTAGATGATTAGATCTAACTAACAAGACTGTAGATTAGATCTAGAGAAACAAACTTGGCTGACTGTTACTTACTGTTGTTTAGGCTAATTTGCTGACTCACTATAGATTCTTCTAGATCTATAGGGCCTATAAAATCAAACAGGACGATGTAGGGCTCTCTTCGGGAGAAGTGGTCCCGCCCAAATTCCATAGACATTTATACATTATGTACACAATCGGAAACAAAACCGTAGGTAGCCTTTAAAAAAAGGCCGGCTCTATTTCTCCGAACGCTTGGGAAAATAAACTTGAACTCTATTTCTCCGAACGGTTCCGTTCTCAAGATTTTTTGGTTACTTGCGGATGGAGTGGCCTGTGTGTGTGTGTGTGTGTGTGTGTGTGTGTGTGTGTGAGAGAGAGAGAGAGAGAGAGAGAGAGAGAGAGAGAGAGAGAGACAGAGAGACAGAGAGGGGAGAGGGGGTGGGGACGGCGGGAGAGGGGGTGGTGGTGGAGGAGACTTTGTGAACACTAGGGAAACAAATACACAAATTATACATTACTTTACTTGAAACGGGAATATAATGGATATGAAGTGGAATTCCTCTTTTTCTTTTCCTTCTGCCCCTATCCTCACTTTCCAAATCCACTTCTCCTCATGTTTAATTATTCTTCTTTCCCCAAATTATTAATCCCCTCTCCCCTCTA